ACTTGCTCCATCCACAATCTTCCCCATCCAGTTTATTTTTATCCCATCGTTCCAGTTACTCCAGCCAAAAACCTTTAAGTCATTCTCAGCTCTTTTCTTTGTTAACTACTCTCAACCCCTAACCAACATCTATCTGTCAGGAAGTCCTGTTGACTCTACTTTTCAAATATATTCAGAATCGAACCATTTATCACCATGTGCTCTGCTAATATACTGATCTGAATCACCAAAATCTCTCACTCAGATTACTTCAGTGGCCTCTTAACTAATCTTCCTGTTCCTTTCCTTGCCCTTCTGGCCTATGCTCAATACAACCAGAGTGATCCCTTTTAGTCAGAGGCAAAGCTATAGAGAAATGGGAACCCTCATGCATTGTTGGTGGGAGTAGAAAATGATACAGCTCTTCATAAAACAGTTTGGTAGTTATTTAAAAAAATTAAACATCAAGTTACCATCTGACCCAGCAATTCTAGTCCTAAGTACATACCCTTGAGAATTGAAAACATAGGTTCACATATAAATATGTATTTGAATATTCATAGCAGCATCATTGATAAGAGCCAAAAAAGTAGAAACAACCCAAATGTTCATCAATTGATGAATGGATAATAAAAATGGGGATATATACAAACAATGGAATGTTATTTAGCCATAAACAGGAATAAAGTACTGACACATGCTACAACATGGATGAACCCTGAAAAACATTATGCTAAGTGAAAGAAGCCAGACAAGATATGCACATAATGCATGATCCTATTTGTGTAGTGTGCAAAAGAGGAAAATTCATAGAGACAGAAAGTAAATTTGTGATTATCAAGGGTTGGGGGAAGGAGGAGCAGGGCATGACTGCTGATGGGCACAGGATTTTTTTTCCAGCTGATGAAAATGTTCTGGAATTAAACAGTGCTGATGATTGCACACATTGTGACTTTACTAAAAACAACCGATTTTACCCCTTTAAAGAGTGAATTTTATAATATATGAGTTATTTTTCAATTTTTAAAAGTTGACTACAAAGTTTTAAACTTCTGGCAACCTGGGCTGCATTTACTACTACAGAGGATTGAATCTGTCTTTGACCTTCAAGGAAGTCAATCAGTAAGAAAATCATCTTGCATTAGATAGTTCTTACATGACAAATGAAATCTGAAATTAGAAACTTCTCCTGAGAGTAGGAAAAAAATTACAGTGTAAATCTTTACATAAAGGACTATAAGGTTACATAATAGATGTTGTCTTTGGTTTTTCCCAAGACATAGAAATATGTTTTTGAAGCATGTTTCTTTTGTTGACCAACTCTAAAAGATTGGGGCATAAAATCAGATTGAAATCAATTCCGTAAAGGAATTTTGCCAAAATAGTACAGCCTGTTTCTGGATGATCTAACTTTACATAAAGATAAACCTTGTGAAGCCGAGAGACACAGAGAGTCATCACATCCCTTTGACCAACTTCCTCGAATACCAGATGTCTCAACTGAGCATTTGGCAAGTGTTAGAGGATAGTTTAAGGTCTGATTTGTATCGTTGATTAAATAAATGTCCATATGTTTTTGATACTGGACATGTAGGTAGCAAAGTCCATATACTATCATGAGATTTTAGGGACTTGATTTATACCCTTGTCTAATCAAATAACCATCTTACTTTCAAGCCGGGTGAACTCTAGAGATACCTGCAGGTGGGGGTAAAAGGTTCTCAAATTCAGCAAAGAACTCTGAATATTCTCATTCAGACAAGCACTTACCTGAGAACCTAGCATTTGTGCGGTTAGACAAGGAAAGTCTGAAAAATGCTAAATGCAGGTGTTTTTAATCAACTGCCTCTATCATGAAAGCATTTTAGTAGTATCCCTGCAAGACATGTAATTGGGTGTAGACATGTAATTTTTTATGAACTAGCTCCAAAATGTACCCCCTCAAGTCACTGAATGACCTATTTGAAGTTGGGTTACATTTGTTTTGGATACCACACTACAATGCTGATTTCTATAAATGTTTACTGAATGAATAAAGGAATAATTTAATAAATATATACTACAGTATTAAGATCATCTCAGAGCTGAATATTTTTATATAATTTTAATAGATATGTCATGTGCTGTGCTATCAATGAACCATTCTTAGATGACAAAAAGTCTGAGTTTTTCTCTAATTTTATGTTCTTGGTTGCTTGCTCATATGTCTTCCCAATACATTGGAAGTTCTTTGGTGATGTTATTCACCTTTGCATCCTCCGCACAAGGCCTGCTCTCATACAGGGCCCTAAGCAGAAGTTTCTTATAACTTCAAGTTTCTGGTGCAGAGTATGTTTGAAGGTATAAAGGCAGGCCAGTGCAGTGGACACTTCACTCCAGAAGCTAAAGGAGACCGCTATGCCTTCTCCCCGCCTCTGGCAGCTGGAGTGTCAGTCAATAACTAGTCATAGCCAGACAGACCCTCCTATTGAGGACTTTGAATCTGGAGAAAATGGCTCAAAGGCACTGGGCTACTTCAAGTTGATCTGAGGCATCAGTGGCAGATCTGTGAAGCAGCTGGTCTCGGGAACAGTGCTAACAGAGCGGCTTCCTAAACAGGAATTGGTCTCATCTTGCTCATTATCTTCATTCATGCCCCACCCTGGCTGTGCAGGTTTCTGTCAATTCATAAAACACCCACGTAAACTGAAGAGTTTGAAGGCAATCAGAAAGTACAAAAATACTAAGATTACCTTTCCTACTCATTTCCTTGAAAGACTTATCACTACTTATCCATGAACTCAGCCAAATAATGGTTATGATTTTCCAACTATACTGTTCAGATTTTCCTAGTAGTTCTTTGAAATAAAGTTATCTTTTAAAAAATCTAAATGTCAATTTAGATTCTAAATATCTAAAATACTGAAATGAGAATTTCCCACCATGTTAAGAAAATGGAGTAAAGAGATTTTTTTAATTCAATATGCACACAATATAGGTAAAGGAGGAAACCAGCAAAATGTCCATCAATGGATGAATAGATTTTTTGATATGAGGTATACCTATGCAATGGAATATTATACAGCCGCAAACAGGAATGAAGTGCCAATATATCGATGCATAATATCATTATGCCAAGTGAACGAAGCCAGGGAATGGTGATGATTGCATAACATTGTAAACATACTAAATACCACTGAATTTCACACTTTAAAATTGTTAACATGGTGAATTTTATGTCATGCACATTTTACCACAATAAAAAACTTAAATCTTATATGCAAAAAAATTAGAAGAAACATAAAGTAGAATATTTAAAACAAGATCCCTTCTACTTGTAGTAGAACCGAGTGGCTTGTCAAAGAAATTTTCTGGTTGTAAAAATCTTTGTAGTTCCGACTTTCCCTCAGAACTCTCAATGAAGTTATCCGTCATCATGTAATCTAGCTTTCACATTAAGAAATAATCTTGTGTCTTGGTGAGGGGAAAATAAACACTTTCAAAACGCTTTTCATTTTTCTCCGACCAAATCATATCCCATTTCATTTAGACATAATAAGGAAGTTGGGAAAATAAAGTATAATTTAATGGATCTTGGCAAATATAATTTTTCCACTCTGGCAAAGTTTAAAGTTCTTTTATTATTGATTAGCCTCGATTACTCAATTTTCCAAAGATGTGGGTCTTTATGTGGGAAAAATGAGCTGAAGATTCTGGGATTTAGAGAATTTTTCAAAGTGGGATTTTATTTATTTATTAATTTGTATATTCACCCGAGGATATTTTTCATTTATTTCTTAGAGAGAGAGGGAAAAACAAAGAAAAACATTGCTGTGAGAAAAACACATCAATTGGTTGCCTCCTGCACACATCTTGACCATGGCCCCGGGCTGGGGAAGAGCCTGCAACTGAGGTACATGCCCTTGACCTCTTGGTATCTTCACCTGAGGATATTTTTTCATTTATTTTTTAGAGTGGAAGAGAGAGGGAAAAACAGAGAAAAACATCGCTGTGAGAAAAACACATCAATTGGTTGCCTCCTGCACACATCTTGACCAGGGCCCGGGCTGAGGAAGAGCCTGCAACTGAGGTACATGCCCTTGACCTCTTGACCAGAATAGAACCTGGGACCCTTCGGTCCGCAGACTGACGCTCTATCCACTGAGCCAAACCAACTAGGGCTCTAACTGGGATTTTAAAACAATGCTGCTACCTATTATTCCCTAACTGAATGGTTCATCATTGTAAAATTGTTTCAAGTTTGCTCAGTGGAATCCTGGGAAATGCCATTAGTACAATTTTTATTCTAGTATGTTGTAAGTCCATTTATCTCTCTCATTTCTACAAAAAAATTTTTCCAAAAATCTCACATACATAGTGATACACACACACACACACACACACACACACACACTCACTCAGATATATATTCTAGCACCCTTCAATTATTGCTTTCCATCCCTGATAGAACTGAAAGATAAAACCCCACATAATAGCAAGTATGCAACTTTTGAAGTATCTCTTTGAGTGTGTTTATATCAAAGGCAGAGTGAGTGTCTTCTCATTCTACTAGGAAGCCAAATGGTGAAACATTCCCTGATCTAGCTTTCCTGCATTACTTGGGGTAAACCGAAATACCAGCAACTTCAAGTTTATTTCTCAACTTATGAAACAGACGTGTGCTGCTTAAAAAGGAATGTTCAATACTCTCTTAGGCTGTATCGCACGATTTTCCAGCCAGTTCCTCGGAGGAAACCATCTTAATGCTTTTATAAATAAGGAAAGCATTTCACTTCAGATGTACTTAAAATACAATTACTTCATTTATTTTTAGAGGCTTCATCAAAGTCGGTTCTGCACCCAGACTCTTCAGAGCAGGTGCCTGTCATTAAATGCGGTGCTGTCACCTGATTCATTTCCCGTGCCAGGGAGGGCTCTGTTTAAGAGTACTCCGCCGCTCTGCATTCATAAGGAAGATATTACAGCCAAGTTCCGCGAAGCCCTCTGAGAAATTCATCAGTGCTACACACTACTGACCTTACCCTAAACCCATCTGCTTGCAGGCCAGCTGACTCAAGGTCTCCTGCCAGCCATCTGCACAGACGTGGTTTTCTGTGGCAGACCTGTGAGCAGTCAGGAATGACGAGGAGTTCTCCTTTTGAGAGAGGGTCACTGAGAACAAAAGAGAAAACCCTAATTAAAAACATTTCCTCTCGAGAATCCAAAGGGTAACTTTACGTGCCTCTCTTCACTTGCATACATTCATTTTGATTCACTTTAGTTAAGAACCTTTTGGTGAATACCTGCCCTGTGACAATCACTGCCTCAGTGTGGTGGAAGACTGAGAAAATGGATTAGAAACGTTCTCTGCCCTCAAAATACTGCAGGTTCCAGTGAAAGAGACAGAGAGTTCCTAACTTGGGTTTTTTTTAGAAGATGGCCAGAGGCAGGGCCCATTCCCATGAGTTTTCCCAATGATTTGCATAATTATAAGAAGCTAGTTGTACCTTCACTGATATCATTTCCTTTCAAGAAAGCACATGAGAATGCAAGTGTGTGATGGTGAGCTGCAAGTGTGCAGTGGGTGAGCTGCAAGTGTGCGGTGGTGAGCATGCAAGTGTGTGGTGGTGAGCATGCAAGTGTGCGGTGGTGAGCATGCAAGTGTGTGATGGTGATGTTAATCTGGCATATGCGCTAATTCCTATTCTATAAAAGAACATCCTCTGTACTTAACGAACTGCAGATCATTTGCGAGCATTAAATCACAACACACATGATAACTACAATTTGGCCAGATGATGCCAGATGAAGTAAGAGCTAAGTGAACAGAAAGATTGATGAGTGTGGGATGATGGAATCAAGCAAATTTAAGATTATAAACTGAAATACTGGAGGTATTGATGGGAGATGCCTTTAGGTTCTTCCACATGGAGAAGTAATAGTGACAAGTCCCATTTGGATGTGGAGCAAGCGTCTAGAGAAGCTGGGAGGGCCACTTTCATATCCCATTCCAGGAGGTGTCAATAACACAAGAATAACAGAGTGCTGATCATTGCTGAAGCTGAGTGACGAATTTAGAAATTATAATCTATAACAATTTGAACTCAAGTGCTTTTACACATAATGTAGGCATTTCAAATAGAGCAGTAACAAAATAGAGCAGGGACATTTTCTGTGACTTGGAAATAACGGATATGAATCACCACTGTCAGCTTTAACAGTAGTAAAGCAAAATAGATGAGCTTGGTTAGTACAATCTGTGAAGCCATGTAGGATTCATTTAGCCGAGTGTACAGCAGATGGCAGAAGCAAGCAGCTCACCACAGTCCCATTCGTCCGAACTGTCCAAGCAGTCGGCTCTACCGTCACACCACCGGTCACGGGACACACACTCGTGGTTTGCACACTTCAGTTCATCCTCGTGGCAAAATGCTGGTACAGGGGACAAGAAACAAGAAGACGGAAACATTTTACAAGTAAATGTGATTATCACTAACACACACATAGCCATTTGCCAGCGGGAACAAGCCAAGAAGATGAGTTCACTGAGGCCTCCGAACAGGTGGCAAACAGACTAAGGGAATCGGTAAAATCTCATTTCATAGATGTCAATCCATACAAACAGCACGCATTTCAACAGAACTCCTTCCTCCAAGGGACTAGGTGCTCTAACAATAGGATTGAAAGAGTAGTACCAAGCAGCAGAAATATCAAAAATTAAAGAACGGGGTTAAAATCTGCTGTGTCACAAGCAGAGCACAGGGGGTGAGTGGACTGAAGTCACCACAGCATGAAAACCAGCTCCGTTCACATATGTGGGTACTTTCTACGTTTTCAAAATCTCTACTAGTAAATGACTCTCTGAGTCACACCTGATTCTCTCCTGGGTTTTAAAAAAGTCACAGTGAAACTCCTTGGTTGCCTACCTAGCATCAACCTCCTTTCTTTCTCCTTTTTTAAGGAATAATGATTTTGTTCACCGCTCCCCGCCTCCCCACCTGCACACTGTCCCAAGCTCCAGAGGAAGTTCCTGATCCGCTTAAGCAGGACATGGCATTTTTCTGATCACAATTATTTTTTTCTGAATATAATTATTCGTCCAAGAGTGAACATGTGAGCCAAGATCGGGGTCTTGGCCTATGGTTTTGTGGGTTGTACTCTGCAAGATAGTTCTTGCCCGGACTCTGCTGGCCAGGCCATGTGTCCTACCCTGGATCAGAGGTGGCCTGGAGGACCCAGCCTCTTTTCCTAATCGGTTCTCCCTGAGAAGTTGCATTTCAGCTGTTCAGGTGGGGTCATTGCTGATCCACACAAAGGCTCCTCACTTAGCAGGACTCTGCTCAAGTTTGGCTAATCTGAGCGAATCCCTAATTGATGTTGGAGAGATGAGGGCAGGCTTCTCATTTCTTCCCACTGGATATGATCAAGGAGGCACAGTGCCCCCGGTGCTCTGGACCTGGTGGGAGTCAGCCCAAGGTCAAGCCCAACTAAGAGAATCATGTAAGTGCTGAACTCCCACATCCAGCCTCAAGAATCCCTCTTACACTTGACTTTTTCTATGATAATATGTTCCATATAATATAGACTATAATAAAGATAATAAGTATCTTTATTGTTTAAGTTAACTTGAGCTGGGCTTTCTATAACCAGTAGGTAAGACATCTTAAGAGACATAAATTTTTTTCTGATTCTGAAAAATGTGGCCATTCATTTAGAAAAGGTAGAAAATACAAAAATTAAAAAACCACAAAAACGTAATAATCCCACCACCCAGGGGGTTATAATTGTGAACTTATTACCTTCTAATATTTTTCTATATGTGAATCTATGTACTTTTAAAACTCAGGACAATAGTACACATAATACTTTATATTTTGTTTTATTCACCTAATGATATGTAATGAACCCAGAAGAAATTAGTCCTATACTTGGTTTTTAATTTCTGCATATTATTTCATTTTATGTCCCCATATTTGTTGATATTTGTAGTATTTTAATTTTTATATCTTATAAATAACCTATCTATATAAAAGCCAAGTGACTGGAACAACTGGTCGCTATGACGCACACTGTGGCTGGCCAACCGGCCCTCTTCCTGGCCAGACAACCTCTCGTGGCCCCTCCCCCTGGCCAGCCCTGATGGAGCGGGCCAGCCGGACCCCACCTGTGCACGAATTCATGCACCAGGCCTCTAGTGTTAGTATAATACCATTGTGCATAAATTTATACATGTTTGACTGTCCTCTTGGCATATATTCTTACAAGTGCAGTTTTGGTAAAAAAAAAAAAAAAAGTCTGAACATACTAAAAGCTTTTGACACATATTTCTAAATTTCTAGCTTCTATTCACAATGAGAGGTAATTTTGTGTGTTGACAAGTTCCTGTAAGACTCACAGCAGTTTATTTCGTCCATATTATCGGGGCAGTCTGGGAACCCATCACAGATGACTGTGCTCTTCAAACACTGTTTGTTGGATGGACATTCCCACAGACCTCTCTCTTTACAGCCTGGAGACAGAAGAAAAGGTCATTTGCAATAGATGTGGAGGTGAAAATAAAGATGAATGTGATCAAGCTACGTAGAAAAATTACAACAGAAAGGCCTGATTTCTTTTTTCTCAAAGAGTGTTTACTCCTATATACCATAAACACATGATGTTGAAAGTAGAAATACTTGATACTCTCCATACTGCAATATAAGTAGTACACCTCTGCTAAGAGAAGACCAAATGTGAAGTATAGAAAATGGGGGGGGGGGGGGGAGAAAAAGCAATTATACATTAACATTCATCTTTAACTGTTCCTTTTGCTTTCTGAGTCAACTTGCCAACCCATAAGACTCCTCTATAAAATGGCGAGTTATGCTTTTAAGCAAAGATGCAAAAACCTAGTAATCTACATGCATATTATCTAAAAATGTAATTTCAGTCCACAAATGTACAGGCCATCTGTGTGCGTGGCAAAAGAGGCCCCTCCTATGCCAAATACCGACAAAACAAGTTTCAGAGCCAGTATGAAAGCCATCACTTACTTTAGTAATGTAGCCAGAGACCTAAGGTTACAAACTTTATCAGTTAAAATGGAAATGAGCACATTTGCACCAGATCGAGACTATAAGCTTGTATTGTAATTTGCCTCTGAAACAGAAGCACTTGCGATGAACTTAATGATGTTTGAATCAAGCACAGTGTGTGTCCTATATCTGATAAAACATGCCAAGAGTCTAATGTGTTCTTTTAAAAATATATATATTTTCATTGATTTCAGAGAGGAAGGGAGAGGGAGAGAAAGATAGAAACACCAATAATGAGAGAGAAGCATTGATCAGCTGCCTTCTGCACGCCCCCGACCAGGGCTGGAGCTGGCAACCCAGGCATGTGCCCTGACCTGGAATTGAACCTCGACCTCCCAGTTCACAGGTCGATGCTCAACCACTGAGCCACACGGCCTGGGCTCTAATATGTTCTTGTCACTCCAGTTAGACCCCTGGCCCTCCTCAGGCTAGAACAGCCGTGGGCAAACTACGGCCCGCGGATGAAGGAAGAGGCCACAGGGCGTTCATGTTTGGGTACCTTTCACCCCTGCCTAGAACAGTAGCTAGCCCTTGGCAGACCTTCAACATATGTGTATTTTATTTTATTTTAAAATTTATCTTTATCATTGAAAGTATTACAGATGACCCCTCCCTCCCATTGGGAGGATCTTCTTTAACACGTTTTTTTTTTCCAACTTTCTGGCAAGAAGCTTAAAATAAATCAATCGTTAAAAAGTATCCTGTATGTATGGCTTCATAATGAGATTCCATAAAAAATGAAAAGTTTTGAATAAAACCAACAGAACAGTTTGAGCGTATAGTACATTCCCCTAGACTTCTATACAATCTAAGTCAGATGAACATTTTTAACAGCTTTGATATTATGTGTAAATTTTATGTTTACCATAAGGTATAAGGTGATCCTCCTAGGATATTTTTTAATTAAAATTTTTTCCTTTTTAAAAAATATATGTTTTTATTTCAGAGAGGAAGGGAGAGGGAGAGAAAGAAACATCAATAATGAGAGAGAATCATTGATTGGCTGCCTCCTGCATACCCACACTGGGGATTGAACCCGCAACCTGGGCATGTGCCCTGACCAGGAATCAAACTGTGACCTCCTGGGTCATAGGTTGACACTCA